AGAGGAAAAATCCACAATTTCCCTTTCAATGTGGCATGAATGTTGTGATTCGTGAGACGTGTCAAGGCGTGCTGAAACTTCCACAACTGCCCTTTCCACGAACCCCATCAGCACTCTTCGCCACCCCCCTTCACCCAGTTCCCCCTGGTTTGCTATTCGTCCTTTCCACAGGAGCGACAACCTATTTCGGCATCTGGAGGGGCTGTACCGGCGGGACCTGCTGGTGCGCATGGTGGTGGATGAAGCACACTGTGTCAGCCAGTGGGGGCATGACTTCCGCCTGACTACCAGGTGTGCAAATGGGTGAAGTGGGATAGAGATGAGTCAGCGCAAGGGGGACCTGCCGGTGCGCATGGTGGTGGATGAGGCACACTGTGTCAGCCAGTGGGGACATGACTCGACCCGACTACCAGGTGCGACATGTGTGCAGGTGAAGCGAGATAGAATGAATTACCAGTCTGTGAACGAAGGCGTGATACGAGTGAGTGGAAGCGACTGGGTGAGGTCGAGTGAAGCCAAATTGACTGAAGATTTAGCTGCTGGTGTTTTCGTGGTGATTGCATGCACCCTTTTGCACCAGTCAGTTGTAGCTTGTAACTTGTAACTTGTAACTCGTAACTCGTAATTCGTGAATGTAACCGCATACGCTTGTTACCCTGGCCCTCTCCACCCTCATCCACCAGGCCTGGGCGTGCTAAAGAGCAAGTTCCCCTCGGTACCTCTCATGGCACTCACAGCCACGGCCACCCATGCAGTGCTCAAGAGCAAGTCCCCACGCCTCTCTCCCCCCTCTCCCCTCATCCACCAGGGCCTGGGCGTGCTGAAGAGCAAGTTCCCGTCGTTGCCGCTGATGGCACTCACAGCCTCAGCCACCCATGCAGTGCTCAAGAGCAAGTCCTCACGCCCCCCTCTCCTCTCCACCCTCATCCAACAGGCCTGGGAGTGCTGAAGAGCAAGTTCCCCACGGTGCCGCTGATGGCGCTAACAGCCACGGCCACCCATGCAGTGCTGAACAGCAAGTCCCCACGTCCCTCTCTCCCCTCTCCCCTTCTCCGCCAGGGCCTGGGAGTGCTGAAGAGCAAGTTCCCGTCGGTGCCGCTGATGGCGCTGACAGCCACGGCCACCCATGCAGTGCAGGCGGATGTGGTCAGTGCACTGTGCCTCAAGCAGTGTGTTGTCTTCAAACAGACCTTCAACCGCCCCAACCTCAGGTAGGGTCTGAAATCGAATGGACTTAAAAACAAATATGGGAGCGGCACATGACACTCTTCTTGAGCGCCTCAACAAGCATTTGTAGGCATGCGACAGCCTGGGCTGGACGTTTTTGAGAGTTCCCAATATGAAGCCTGTGCTGGACGCCAGGCCCTCGCTCTTCCTCTGTCCGCCCATGTGCCTCACCCCACCCATGTGCCTCACCCCACCCATGTGCCTCAACCCACCCGTTGAATTCTGTGTCTGTGCCTCACCGCAGCCCACCTCACCACATCGCACCTCACTCATCATGATCCTCACGACCGCGCAGGTGCGAGGCAAGGGGCAGCGGTGCATGGACGAAGTTGACTCTGTGTGCCTATGCGCCGCACCGCACCTCACCCATGCCATGTGTGTCTGTGTTCCCGTGTACCTCACCACACCGCACCTCACTGCTCCTGCTCCTGTTCACAATATACCGCACCGCACCGCACAGGTACGAGGTGAGGGCGAAGGGGCGGCGGTGCATGGACGACATAGACTCGTTCATCCGGAGCAGCGGGTTCTTCCGAGAGTCAGGCATCGTGTACTGCCTCTCCCGCAACGACTGCGAGAAGACCGCTGAACAGCTCACTGTGAGTCGAGTTGTACTCACACACAGCAAGTCATAGCTCGGTGCAGGTTGCGGTCAGTGTTCTTCCGAGAGTCAGGCATCGGGTACTGCCTGTCAAGGAATGACTGCGAGAAGCCCGCTGAGCAGCTCACTGTGAGTTGAGTTGTGCTCACACACAGCAAGTCATAGCTCTTGGATGCTCAGAACAGGTTCTTCAGAGAGTCGGGAATCGTGTAGTGCCTTTCCCGCAACGACTGCGAGAAGACTGCTGAACAACTCACTGTGAGTTGAGTTGTGCTCACAGCAAGTCATAGCTAGGTGGGTGCAAGAGGTTGTAGTCAGTGTTTCTTCAGGATGGCATCGTGTAGTGCCTGTCCCGCAATGGCTGCGAGAAGACTGCCGAGCAGCTCACTGTGAGTAGCGCTTGTGTACTGCCTGTCATGCAACGACTGCGAGAAAACCGCGGAGCAGCTCACTGCGAGAGAGTGGCGGTGACAAAAGAGAGGATACGGGAATGTGGATAGTGCTCACAGCAAGTCGTACCTCAAGGCTGCTCTAGCACCATGGCATGGCGTGTGGCATGGCATGGCATGGCATGGCATGTGGCATGGCATGGTGTGTGGAATGGCGTGTGGCATGGCATGTGGCATGGGATGGCATGGCATGGCATGTGGGATGGCAGAAGCTGGGCCACAGAGCGGGGTTCTATCATGCCAACATCGCAGCAGGCGAGCGGGCAGACGTGCAGAGGAGGTGGAGCAAGGACGAGATCAACGTCATCTGTGCCACTGTCGCATTTGGCATGGGTGGGTGTGTGTGGGAGTGGGAGTGAGTGAGTGTGGCCTTCGGCTTGGGTCAGTAACAGTTGTGTGTTCATTTGTTCTACAGCCATAATGCCTTCTCATTTATTAAAACATTTGGAATACTGCTTGGCCTGTTTCCACCCTCCCATCCCCCCTCTCCCATCCCTCCTATCCCATCCCTGTCCTTTCAACTTTCTTCCCTTGCCCGTTTCGTAATCCACCAGGTCACCTGTGCACCGCATTTCACCACTGTCCTTCTCTTCTCCACCACCCCCACCATCTACGAACCCACCACCTATGAGCAAGCACTTGCCTGTCTTGATGCACCTCTCTGGATCGAGGCCATGGTCAAGGAGAGCAACGTCTTCATCAGCAACCGCTCGTTTCTCGACGTCCCTCGTTCCTCTAAGCACAACGTGGTCAAAGGCAGGTGGCTTTTCCGAGTAAAACTACTCCCTGGCGACGCTCCGGTCTACAAGGCTCGATATGTGGCAAAAGGCTTCGCACAGACCTATGGCTCAGACTTCTTCGAGACCTACTCACCCACCGCCACTCCACCGGTCATTCGCGTGTTTTTGGACTTTGTTGGCAGACGCGGAATGGTTCTTCACTCCATGGACGTCACCACCGCCTTTCTGCAAGGCGACCTTCATGCGCTCATTTTCCTGGAACGTCCCAAAGGCTTCCACGCTCCTCACGACCCCACCACTGTTTGGAAGCTGCTACGCCCTGTCTATGGGCTCAAACTAGCACCTCGGGAATGGCACGCCAAACTCTCCTCCACCCTTCGCGCACTTGGCTTTCGCCCCTCCCATGCCACCTCCTACCTCTTCCTGCGCCTCACCCCATCACCCTTCTTCATCCTCGTCTACGTCGACGACATGCTGCTGGCCGCTGACACAGCTGTTGATCTCCAGGAGGTCAAGGATGAGCTGCAGAAATGCCTCGCCTGCAAAGACCTGGGGGAAGTTCGCAACTACATCGGCATAGAGATCACTCGCGACCTCACTGCCAAGACCATCACCCTCTCTCAGTCTTTTTACATCGAGAAGATTCTTGAGAGGTTTGGCATGAAAACCTGCAAACCCATCCCCACACCACTTGCATTCGGGCATCGGCTCTCCCCCCCCCACCACTCCCGTCACCTCCCCTCATCCCTATGCAGAACTTGTTGGGCCCTGATGTACGCCATGGTCTGCACTCGTCCTGACCTTGCATACCTAGTCAGTTCTCTGGCGCAGTTCGTCGGCACCGGCAGGCATGGTGAAGAACATTGGAAGGCGGCCATGCGTGTTCTTCGCTACCTTCAGGGCACGAAGGACCATGTCCTCACTCTTGGTGGTGTGAACCCGCCCATTCTTCAAGGCTTCAGCGACTCATCTTGGGCCGACGCACAGCCCGACCGTTGCAGCTCTTAAGGATATGGCTTCACACTCGGGGGCGGCCTTATCAGCTGGCGCTCCACCCGCTCCTCTTCCGTTGCCCTCTCATCCTGCGAAGCCGAACTATACGCGGTCACGATGGCGGCTCAAGAGGCACGTTGGCTCAGTTATCTGCTCACCGACCTTGGCTCCCCACAGCCTTGCCCCACCCTGTGGTGTGACAACGACAGTACAATCCACCTCACCAAGAAAGCAGTCTTTCATGGTCGCTCCAAACACATTGAGCTTCGCTACTACTTTGTTCGCGACCTTGTCCAAGATGGTCACATCACCGTTCACAAAATTGCCTCCTCCGACAACCTCGCCGATCTCTTCACCAAGACTTTCCACCGCTCTGACCACTCTGCGCTTCTACGTCTCCAGGGACTGATTCAAGGGTTGTTACTCTCTCTCTTCTCATGCTTATGGATTTCAGTAGGTTAAGGGGTTGTGTCAGATTACCATCCTCATTGTAACCTACATCAATCCTATAAGCTTAGGGTAGAGATAGCCACCCAAACTTAATTTGGATGTAGAACTAGGGCTAACCCTAGTTGGGGGTTGGAACTCAAACCTTGGCCCCCAAGGTTGGGTTGGGAATTATTGGTCTCTCCAATAATGTTGAACCACTTGGTCAACAGTATTGGTCCCCCCAATAATCTCTCAACCCAACTTATTGGTGGGGGGCAATAATGTTGGCTTGGTTCCAACCAAACCCCCCGTACTATGTATACCCCCATCTCTCCTAATGAAATCAATGGTTCTTCCTCACGTTTTCTCACAACTTCACCATTCTGTGTTGTTCTTAGCCGTTTTCCCTTTCTCCCCCTTCACCCCCCTTCCCCCACTCGCGGCAGGCATCAACAAGCCAGATGTTCGTTTCGTCATCCACCATTCCCTTCCTAAGAGCATCGAGGGGTACCACCAGGTCACCTTTGCATCGCATTTCACCGCACTTCACCATTCCGTGTTCCTCTTCTTGCCCCCGCCCACCCATCACGGCAGGCATCAACAAGCCAGATGTTCGTTTCGTCATCCACCATTCCCTTCCTAAGAGTATTGAGGGCTACCACCAGGTCAGCCGTGCACCGCACTGCGCCACTCTGTGTTGGTCTCTACCACTCGAACTCGATCACAAAAAGCACTCCGAACTTCCCATCACCTCTCTATTTTTTCTCTTTATCCACGGCATTTCACCGCATGAATTCCTGTAACCCTTTGCTGCCGCTTCTTTCGAAAGGAAAGAAAACGATTCATTTCGAGTTCTCTGATTGCGTACGATTTTAGCCCTGCTTGCCAAGGCGAAGTCTCTGTGGCGAAGTCCATCTCTTTCTGCTGCCTCACACAAGTCAATTTTTGAGTCGACTAAAAAACGTTCGCCAAGGCGAAGTCTCTGTGGCGAAGCTTTTGTGGCAAAGTCTTTATGGCGAAGTCGATCTCTCTCTGCTGTCTCACACAATCATTCTGTGGTTGTCCCTTTGCTGGGCTGGCAGGAGTCGGGGCGAGCAGGGAGGGACAACCTGCCTGCCACCTGCGTGCTCATGTACAGCTATGGCGATTATGTGAGCTTATTGTTATAAAACATTGGCAGCTATGGGGATGATTGTACTTCATTATTGATAAAACAATAATATTCTAGTTTCTTGCTGATATGGCACGTGCTTCAGTGGCAACACCAATGTTGCAATGGCTCCTTGGAAACATCTCTCTTGCAATGTATTCTTGGAAACATCTCTCTTGCAATGGCTTGGCCCCTTTCCCCACTTCCTCCTCGCCCCCACCCCCAGGCGCGAGTGAAGAATATGCTGCTGCAGGGAGCGGAGGAGACAGCAGATGGTGGGGGCTGCCTTTTGATTCGACTCAAAAGTAAACTCGCTCCAATGTCACAGGCGCGGGTGAAGCACATGCTGCTGCAGGGAGCGGAGGAGGCAGCACATGGTGGGGGCTGCAGCAGTGCTCCTACTTCCCGTTGCCAAGCACCTCCCCTTTTGTTTCTTTCACTCCACCCTTATCCCCTCCCCTCTCCTCACCCCAGGCGCGGGTGAAGCACATGCTGCTGCAGGGGGCAGCGGAGGCGGCAGGTGGGAGGGGTGGAGGGGGAGGGGGGAGAGGGGGCATGGGGCCGCAGCAGCAGCTGGAAACGAATCTGGACAACCTTCATCGCATGGTGAGTCAGATGCACTGCATGGTGAGTCAGATGCACTGCATGGTGAGTCAGATGCACTGCATGGTGAGTCAGATGCACTGCATGTGAGTCATATGCACTGCATGTGAATCAGATGCACTGCATGGTGAGTCAGATGCACTGCATGGTGAGTCAGATGCACTGCATGGTGAGTCAGATGCACTGCATGGTGAGTCAGATGCACTGCATGGTGAGTCAGATGCACTGCATGTGAGTCAGATGCACTGCATGTGAGTCAGATGCACTGCATGGTGAGTCAGATGCACTGCATGGTGAGTCAGATGCACTGCATGGTGAGTCAGATGCACTGCATGGTGAGTCAGATGCACTGCATGGTGAGTCAGATGCACTGCAGGATGCGTCATCAGCACCACATGGTGAGTCGCATGGTGAGTGAGCACACTGTTCGCATTTTCCCTTCCCTTCCCCTTTGCCCCCGCCTCCTCTTTCCCCCTGGTTCCGCGTTCCTTTTCGCGCCTATCCCTCCTTGTCCTTACCCCTTGTCCCCCCTCCCCCCACCAGGTGGCATACTATGAGAACGATGTGGACTGTCGGCGCACGGTGCAGCTCTCTCATTTCGGGGAGCGCTTTGACCCCACCCACTGCCGCCGCTCCTGCGACAACTGCTGGCCCCAACTCACACGCTCCTTCCCCTTAGTCCTTTCCATCCAATTCCCCTTGCCCCACTTCCGTTCCACCTTGTCCCCTTTTCCCCTTCCCTCTTCCTCTCCTCCTCACCACCCTTCCACCCCCAGGTGGCGTACTGTGAGAACGATGTGGACTGTCGGCGCACGGTGCAGCTCTCGCACTTCGGGGAGCGCTTTGACCCCACCCACTGCCGCCGCTCCTGCGACAACTGCTGCTAACACACACGCTCCTTCCTTCCCTTTTGTCCTCCCCATTCCCCTCTACCTTCTTCCCGTCCCCCTTGTCCCCCCCACTCTTTCCCCGTTCTCTTCCCACCTCCACCCCCCCTCTCTCCCCTAGGTGGCGTACTGTGAGAACGATGTGGACTGTCGGCGCACGGTGCAGCTCTCTCATTTCGGGGAGCGCTTTGACCCCGCGCACTGCCGCCGCTCCTGCGACAACTGCTGCCGGGACGTTGCCTCCGCGCCCCGAAACATCACGCGCCTGGCCCTGCGCATCGTGAGTTGGAAGCACTTCTGACTCTGATTTTAGCCCTTTTGAAATTTGAGGCGAACCTGCCTGAGTTTGAGTTTGAGTTTGAGAATTCTCAAAAACCTTTTGAATTTGAGGCGAACCCGTCTGAGTTTGAGTTTGAGTTTGCATCCTCCTTGCCATCCCTGTGACTCACTCTCGCCTCTCCGCCACTCCCATGCGCCTCGCCTCTCACCACAGATATCTCTCATTCGTGACACGGGGGAGCGCCACACCCAGCAGTACATCCTTGACCTCCTGCGTGGCTCTGCCAGTGCCCAGGTATGCATGGATCATCTGCCACTTGTGAGCAGGCAGCGTGAGCAGCCAGCCAGCAGTGGCAGTAATACACTCACACGCCTGCATGGCTGGGCCCCACCAGCACCCAGGTGCGGCCTGGATCCTCCGCTCCGCAGTACCCTACCCTCACCTCACCCGCGAGAGGTTCCTTCCTGCGATGAAGGGCTTTTGAGGTGCCTCCAGTGGAAGCCACCTTTCCCGGCCTAAAGCATCCCCTTCTTTCCCCACCCAACAGTCCAGGTGAAGCGCAATCGGAGCGCAGCTCTGGCCCAGTGAACAACTTTTGAGGCCCCTTAAGCGAACCCACGCCTCCCTCCCCTCCCCTCCCTCCCTCTCCCTCCCCTCCCTTCCCCTTCTCTTTCTCCACTCCCCTCCCCCGCATCTCTCTCTTTCTCCCCCATTCCCACTTCACTACCCAGCCCAAGGTGAAGTGCAATGGGCACGCAGCTCTGGCACAGCAGATGTCTTTTGAAGCGCCTTTTCCAAGTCCCCTCCCCATCCCTCCTCCCCACCGCTCTCCACTTCACGGCCCAGGTGAAGCGCAATGGGCACGCAGCTCTGGCGCAGCGAATGGCGGAGGAGAATAAGGCGGGTGGCGGGGACGAGGAGGAGGGCGGGGCGGCAGGGGGGTGGAGCCGGCGGGACATGGAGCGGGTGGTGCGACACCTGGTGTGCGTGGAGGTGGTGCGGGAAGACATAAACAAAAGCGAGGCGTATGGGTCTATCTCCTCAGTGCTGCGAGTGAGTGTAACAACTTCCCTTTTTAACACACATGCGTGTCACCCTCTGGAGGGGGACATGGAGCGCGAGGTGCAGCACCTGGTGTGTGTGGAGGTGGTGCGGGAAGACATCAGCAAGAGCGAGGCGTATGGCTCTATCCTGTCTCTACTCCGGGTGAGTGTGTGCTACTTTATGGCTTGATGCTGCATGGAGCGAGTGGTGCAGCACCTGGTGTGTGTGGAGGTGGTGAGGGAAGACATCAGCAAGAGCGAGGCGTATGGGTCCTCCTCCTCGCTGCTCCGGGCGAGTGTCTGTCCTGCACTGCACTGCCAGCCAAGCATGTGCGTGGCTCTGTTGGGTTGGGATGAATGAATTGCCTGCACATGGCACGCGCGGTTGGCAAAGGGGGACATGGAGCGCGGGCGGGGGACGTAAAGCGTGTGGTTGCCATTGCCTTTCTCATGCATTTCCATCCTCGCTGCTGCTTTCTGCAGGTGAACGACAGCAAGGCAGAGGCGCTATTCTCAGGGAAGCTTCACCTCACTCTCAGGTGCGTGCTCATGCCCACTCCCTGCTGAGTAAACTCAGCTCTTTTCAGTTGGCTCAAGTGACACCTCACTCACTCGCACATGCGCCTGTGCTTCCCGCGGACCCCACAGGCTCTTTGCAGTTGGTTGCTTCCCGCGGACCCCGCACCCCGAGTCAATGCACCCCTGCTTCGCTCACTCCCCTTCCCTGCCCACTCTCCCCCATCCCGTTTCTCCGCGCTTCTCGTATCAGCTCGTGACATCTTTCTTCTACTCCCTTTTCGCTTATTGGTCTGGTTTCTTGTCTTTCTAAAAATGGAAATGTCCCATTCAACGCTTCTATGCCTCTGTAATCTTTTATGTCGCTCATCTTTCGTCATCTTGCCACACACACTGAACGGTGCTGTGAGGGAGCACCCCTGTACCCATAATGCACAAACAGCTTGTCAAGATTCACACACACACATACTCACAGTTTTGAAACAGATTGCATTTCGGTACGTCACAGCTAGCCAAGTTCCACAAACACACACACACTCTTACATTCAAGAGCTTTTCCACCTACCCATGCCTCTCCCACCACAGCTTCCCCATTCAGAAGCGACCTGACTCTGCACAGGTGTCAATTGGTGCAGGCAGGACCACATCACCTGCTGCTGCCACCGGCGTCACCCCCACCAGCAAAGCCGCAGGCAGCAGGTGCAGGAGGCAAGCCAGAACCAGGAAAGGCGCTACCGCTGCTGCTGCCAATGGGTCTACAGCTGGCACCATGGGAGGAGGGAATGGCGTGGAGGCAGATTCATGGGCTGATGAGATTGATAATGGTGATGATGGTTCTGGTGATGTGAGATGGTCCGGTGGTGCTGGTAGCAGGGGGTTCTCTTCTGGCGTTGATGGGGGAGTTGAGCAAACGGAAGGAGCACAAGGAGCAGAGGGAACAGCAGGAGCAGGGAAGGGGTTTCAGCAGATGGCTGCTGCGGCGGCTGCTGCTGTGGACTCGGCTGCGCCCTTTTCGCCTCCCAAGCAGGCGGCTGATGTGGTGAGCAGAGCTGAGCTGAGATGTGACGGAAGATCTGCTGTGACCTTCACTGTGATTCACACTGCTACTGCTTGACTGAGAGGTGACAGGAAGCAGAAACGGCACACTCGAGTGTTTTTTTTTTTTTCTTTCTTTCTTTCTTTCTATTCTGGTTTTTTTTCTTTCTTTCCCGTGTGCCCCCCTCACTCGTTAATTGTAAATGCCCCACTTTATGCTTATTCAATCAGGCCCTGGATTTTAACTTGAAGGTTGCATGCAACAAAATTAGAATCAAGTGCTGGAACTGTGAAAATCTGTCCTCTCCTCTCCGTGCACTGCACACTGGCTCTGATTCCTCTCCCCTCCACCCTCCCTCTCTCCCTCTTCTCAGGTGCTGTCAGGGGCGGTGTACAAGGCACTGCACGCGTTGAGGCAGACCCTGGTGCAGGAGTCGGGCAAGAACCTCGCACCCTACCACATATTCGGGTGAGAGAGCCTGACTGCTTGCTGAATGCGTTTTCGAGGCATAATATAAAAAACGCGTTGAGGCAGACACTGGTGCAGGAGTCGGGCAAGAACCTCGCACCCTACCACATGTTCGGGTGAGTGGAGTGGGGCTGCTTGCCTGCTGCGTGCATCTGGTGCGTGCATCTGGTGCGTGCATCTGGTGCGTGCATCTGGTGCGTGCATCTGGTGCGTGCATCTGCTGCGTGCATCTGCTGCGTGCATCTGGTGCGTGCATCTGGTGCGTGCATCTGGTGCGTGCATCTGGTGTGTGCATCTGGTGCGTGCATCTGGTGCGTGCATCTGGTGCGTGCATCTGGTGTGTGCATCTGGTGCGTGCATCTGGTGCGTGCATCTGGTGCGTGCATCTGGTGCGTGCATCTGGTGCGTGCATCTGCTGCGTGCATCTGGTGCGTGCATCTGGTGCGTGCATCTGGTGCGTGCATCTGCTGCGTGCATCTGGTGCGTGCATCTGGTGCGTGCATCTGGTGCGTGCATCTGCTGCGTGCATCTGGTGCGTGCATCTGGTGCGTGCATCTGGTGCATGCATCTGGTGCGTGCATCTGGTGCGTGCATCTGGTGCGTGCATCTGGTGCGTGCATCTGGTGCGTGCATCTGGTGCGTGCATCTGGTGCGTGCATCTGGTGCGTGCATCTTGTGTGTGCATCTGGTGCGTTCATCTGCTGCGTGCATCTGCTGCGTGCATCTGCTGCGTGCATCTGCTGCGTGCATCTGGTGCGTGCATCTGGTGCGTGCATCTGGTGCGTGCATTTGGTGCGTGCATCTGGTGCGTGCATCAGCTGCGTGCATCTGGTGCGTGAAGGAATATATTAGAGAGCGTAGCGATAACAAGAGAGATTCTGCTATGGGAATGATGTTGCGCCAGCAACTTGGTAGAGTTTCGGTAGCGTTTGCCTCTTAGGACTTGGTGAGAATTGAAGTAGCATTTGGACTTCACTAGGAATATAGAATATATCAAACACACAAGCAAACACAAACATATATAGGCAGGCGAGGGTTTCACAAGAGGTTGCGTGGGCGGTGCGAGTAACCCAACCCCACGAAAGTGGTGTGTGGGTGAGCGAACGCGCCTCGCCAATTTCCCAACCCAACTCAGCATCGACTTCTCGCTTCCGTGCACACCACTCCACCAACACAGCAAGGAGTGGTGCGACTCTCAAGGAAGCACCAACAACTCCCACGGACTCTCGCTTCTTCATGCGAACTCCTGCGCAGTTGCACATAGTCACACGTAGTCACACCCGACCTCCACCGAACTCATTCGTCGGTGCCGAGTAGACTCAGTCGTTAGGCGCCGACCTGCCAAGTCCAAGGTCAACGAAGGCCATTGCTGTCGTAGGGCCCTCTAACACTCCCCTGCCATACTATAGCAAGGCCCTTTATAATCACAGGGCATGCATACCCACATACACGCCAAAACAAAGGGAAACACACACAAACGAAGCACTCTCAAAGTGAAAACACGCACCGCACCAGCCATGGATAGGCCATGGCACCATCCACATCATGGAGTGTCTAGGTCTCACTCCCCTTGCTCGAGAGCCGCACCTGCCCCACAGCCTCGAAGCAACGACTGAAGGCGGGGAAATGCAATGCCTTTGTGAGGTAGTCAGCAGGCTGGTCGCTCGTAGGGATGTACTGCAGCTGCAGCTTCCTGCGCTTGACCATGTGCTGCAGCCACATGTGACGACGCTCCATGTGCTTGAGGCTCCCCTTGAGCCCCATGCCACCTGCCACTGAAATGGCGGAGGAGTTGTCCACATAGAGAGTCGTGGGCTCCTCACTCCTCAGCAGTTGAAACTCTGCCAGCAGGAAGCGCAGCCTGCGCGCCTCCTTCCCAGCCTCCACAGCAGCAACGTACTCAGACTCAGTGGAGGAAAGGGTGGCGCAACGAATCCGATGGCTCGCCCATGAGACAGCAGCACCCCCGATCACGAAGACATAGCCACCTGTGCTGGTCCTTTTCTTCTTGTCCCCTGCATCATCAGCATCAGCGTAGCCCACCAGCTCCAAGGACTCAGGCCCACCACCAAACTCCAGCGCCACATCCCTGCTCCCCACCAAGTACGTCAAGCACCGGTCCAACTCCTTCCAGTGCTGATCACTCCACACGATCTGGCCCGACCCCAGCTTGCTGCAGGCGAACGAGATGTCGGGACGGGTGGTACAGGCCGCGAACTGCAAGGATCCCACCTTCTGCCTGTACTCCTCCTCCTGGCGAGACTGCCATCCCACATCCTCGAAGGTCTGCACACTGAAAGGGATAGAGGAAAGAGGGGTGCGAGGCACTCGCAGCGGCTGCTCCCCGTTAAAGAAGCGCCTATGGACCTTGTCCACATAGGCCCCCTGGTGCAGCCACAGCCTCCTCGTGGGCCTGTCCCGAATCAGCTGCAACCCCAGATATTTCTCCACAGGGCTAATCTCCCGCAGCTGAAAGGCACTCTGCAGCAGGTCACGCAGCTCCGCTAGCATGCTCTGACTGCGGCTGGCAGCAAGCAGGTCATCCACGTACACCAACAGCCAGCACATCTCCCCCTTAGCATCAGTCTTGAAGTACAGAGCCTCATCCACCTTGCTCTTCTTCCATCCAGCCCCAAGGAGCACCCCATCCAAGGCCTCATACCATAGCATCGGGCTCTGCTTGAGCCCATACAGACTCTTCACCAACTTACAGACACGAGGAGTCCCATCCTCGTAGTAGCTCGGCTGCTCCATGTAAAGGTCTCGGTCCAGCACGCCATGGAGGAACGCGTTCTTCACATCGAGCTGCATCAGGTCCAGATCAAGTGCAGCTGCAATCGCCAGAAGCACACGCGCCGTCACATAGCTTCCCACAGGGGCGTACGTCTCCTCATAGTCCACCCCTGCCACCTGCGTGAACCCCTTCACTACCAGCCTCGCCTTCTCACGCTCCACTATCCCATCAGGTTGGAACTTGGTGTTCAAAATCCAGCGGTTCTTCATCACATTCACCCCTGGCGGACGCGGAACCAACTCCCACGTCCCCTGCTCAATCAAGCTCCGCATCTCCTCATCCATTGCCTCCTTCACCTTGTCTCCCTTCCAGCAGCCCAAGGCCTCCTTCACTGTCATTTTCGCTATGTCCCACTGCCTCTCAGGATCAGCTGCCACGTCCGGGTCCAGGTTAGTCCACTCCTCGTCCTCCTCCTCGTCATCCAAGCCCGCCGGCTCAACCACTACAGCCCATGCGTATCGAACAGGCGGGACACCACGAGTGATGCGAGTGGAGCGACGCAGTGGTGCAGTGGTCGTCCCAGAAACCAACACACGACCACCATCTCTAATTCCCCACATCTCCTGCTCCCCTGTCTGCGGCTCCCCTGTCTGCTGCTCCCCAATCTGCTGCTCCCCTGTCTCCTGCACCCCACTTTGCTGTACTCCATCCATACTGCTCTCGTACTGCAGCTGCTCAGTCTCAAGGTGTTGCCCGTCGGTGATCTCCACAGACGGTGGCACCTCCATCCCCCCCTCACCAACGGGCGGCGCCGTGGAAGACGAAGAAGAGGGCGGAGCAGGTGCAGGAGGGATGGAGGGTGGAAGGGGAGATGGAATAACAGGAGGAGGAGGGGAAGCCAAGGGGGGTGAGGAGGGAAAAAGCGGGACAGGGGGAATCACACAAGGGTAGACCGAAGGCGGAGGTGGAGTGGGGACCGAGGTAGGGACATAGGGCATAGCAGGAGGCGCGACCACCTCCTCCTCCTCCTCCGCCTCCTCGAGAGTGATCGGGAAGAGGGAGGGAAAGGGCTCATAGGGCATCAAACGCCCCCCATGCTCGTGCTGATGCCAAGCCTTCCATCCTGCTAAGGACATGGTCTCATAGAACACAGCTTCCACAGTGGTGATGAGGCGGTTGGACTCCAAGTCCAGCACGGCCCAGCCCTTGCTCGCAGCTGACACACCCAAGTGCAACCCCCAGCGAGCCTTAGGCGCCAGCTTCCCCCCACGCTGCGACTGTGGTACCATGTACTGCAGCATGCAGCCCCAAACACACACCATACTGACATCAGATTTGCGTCGGAAGGCAAGCTCGTACGGCGTCACACCAGAGGGTAGTGAGGCGTGCTCCACGCGGTTGCGCACCCAGACGGCCTGAGCCAACGCCAGGTGCCACCAGTGATGCTGCACACCCATGTGCAGCAACATCGTCCGCACCGCCTCCACAATGCTGCGCATCTCCCTCGGCCATCCCGTTCTGCTCCGGCGTGTACGGGCATGTGAGGTCATGGGTGATGCCTTTACCGTCGAGGAAGAGCGTGAAGTCGTGCCCCAGGAACTCGCCACCCCGATCAGTGCGCAGCGCTTGCACCGTGGTCTTGCACTTTCGCTCTGCCATCGGGAGCCACTTCTGGAACGCCGCCAGCGCATCACTCTTCTGGGCCAAAGGGTAGGCCCAGACAAATCGCGTCTTGCGATCCTTCAGCACCAAGAAGTAGCGGCTGCCGTCCTTAGCTGCTTCACGGAAAGGGCCACACAGGTCAGCATGCACCACCCCGAGCAACTGATCCTCCTCCTCTCCCACAGAAGGAAAAGTATGACGAGTGATCTTTCCCCCAACACAGGAGACACAAGGTATGCCTGACTTGCCCCCCTTCTCCAAATCCAAGCCCTTCACTGACCCGTGAGCCGCTGTGCGCTCGATGGCATCAATACCAACGTGTGCCATACGCGCATGCCACAGGTCCCCCTTAGACCGTACGCCCGTCGCCAAGGTACGAAGTACCACCGTTTCGCCTTCCTGCTGCTGCGTCGAACACGGCTGGAAGTTCGTGCAGAGAACACGCCCCTTGAACTCGGCACGACCAAGGAGCGATCCATCTGGTGCCCGCAGCAAAGTCACATCCCCGGCATCCAGCAGCTGCACACCACTATCACGCAGCTGCCCAGCAGAGAGAAGACTCCCCTGCACTCCTGGTACGTACAGCACGTCCGGCACCAAGACACGCC